AAAAGCGAACGCAAGCCGGGTCATTCACGGCGACACATCGACGTCTCTAGGGCGGACACATTTCCGGCTTTAGCGGCGGCCTAGCAGCGAAAACTGCGGTCTCCTTAAAAACGCCGTCGGTTCCAAAAACTGAGCTTTCCGCCGAAGCGCAGTGAGATGGTGGCTCGTTCCTTCTCGGCTTGCCCGGTTAGCGCAGGTACCCTGGTTTGAAGCGTTTGTAAAAGACGTGGTCTTTGCGCATTCGTTGAGAGCCTTGGGACGTCGCCTGTGCCGTGAATATCAGCGCGCCTCGTCGTGTCTGCCAACGAGCCCAGCAAAGCTGCCAGCTCCGGTGCAGCCAACTGGTTTTGCGCCGCCCCAGAAAGCAAATAAGGCGCGCGCACACCCCCGACTCCATTACGTAACGAGCTGCACTGCTTATTGCTCGCTGTGCGCGTTTTGAGAACAAGGTTGTGGTAACCACCACGCCAATGATGTAGCAACCCAAAGTGGTCAAGCGCTCATCGCTTCATCGGTAAGTGGCGCTGCAGTAATCGTTTTGTCTTCTTTAGCTTTTTCAAGTGAGCAAGGGGCCGCGAATACGTCGGTTCACCACTTCGTCGGTAAACGTCGAAACGGCGCCAGAAGCAGTGGAAAATCATATGCACCATACACGAAGCTCAACGCGGAAACAATTTTTCACTCTTGCCAGCGACTGTTTATCAATACCACTCACGCAATGTTTGTGACATTTGGCAAATTATAAATGCAAGAATCTATAATGTTTAGCCTAACGAGATACCATGAAAAATCCCGCCTTACTTATTATCAATGTGTTTAGCTTGGGAGCGAAAGCAGATTTCGAAAGTGCTTTGTGAATGCTTCAAGTGCTGCTATTCTGGTGCGTGTTGATTGATGATTGATATGTGGGGTTTAACGTCCCAAAACCACTATATGATTATGAGAGACGCCGTAGCGGAGGGCTCCGGAAATTTAGACCACCTGGGGTTCTTTAACGTGCACGCAAATCTGAGCACACGGGCCTACAACATTTCCGCCTCCATCGGAAATGCAGCCGCCGCAGCCGGGATTTGAACCCGCGCCCTGCGGGTCAGCAGCCGAGTACCTTAGCCACTAGACCACCGCGGCGGGGCAAATTCCGGTGCGTGTAAGCAAGTTTTAAGCCTGCCAATCAAACTATGCTTAGAGCTTGCTTACGAATGAATTTTTACTTTTGTGTCATGGTTCTTTGTTACAAATGTGGCTACATTGGTGTGAAGTATGACATAAATGCCCAAATCTCCACAGTATATCTCGAACATCAATCCAGATTTTTAAGGCACACCAATAACCTTAGATTAACTTTGCAGGCGCTTATATAGCGTTAGGTATAGTATAAACGTGCTATATGTAACAACGTAACAGCTGCGTGATTGACTGAAAATATTTTAACTTTTTTTTTATATTCCGTTCGATAGCATATAATCTGAATTTCGAAGCCAATACAGCCCTCATGCCTAACCTGCTTTCATTGGCTCCCCTGTCAAGAGAAGCATTCCCCACGTTTGCCTTTTTTCTCACCAAAGTTCATAATCGCCACCCTAGAGTTATCCAACATCTGAATAAACATCACAAGCAAATATTCAATAATCGTATACAATTTTTTGTCAAGATTTTCTCAAAGTGCATACTTTTCTCACATGAAATAGCAATGAACATCTACTTATTTAACTGAATTACATTATTTATTCCCGTTTAACTGCATTCAGACATGTGTTACGACAGCACACTTCAAGCTATTCAGTGCTCTTATGATCGCATAGCCAGCGTCCAACAACACAGCAAAGCGTCAACTTTTACAGATACCAATACATATCCTCCCTTTCCGCCCCTCCCATTGCCCATGCATATTTTTTTACTGCAGATATTTTTCTTGTGCCCATTACTTCTCTTCACAAATTACGTGACATCACGGTATATATACTGCAATGCTAATGCACAGTTCTCGGCTCCATGAAGACCCATGACTTTTTTACCGCTTCATTATCGTATCAAATATTTCGTTTTTGTCTCCTGAAACTCTCTCTACATAGCATGGAACTGCAAAGCAGAAATCTCGCGCCAGCAGCTTCATTTAACTTATTTAAGATCTGAGCAGGCTCTTCTGTAATCGCGGAACGTTCCAAACCGGTTCAGTGTCACTGGACTCTTGCTGGCTTTCTGACCACAAAGAGTCTTCACTGTTTTATTTCTCTGGTACCCGTATTTCCGCGATTAATGTCTATGCTTTTGCCTAGCTTCAACACAAGCGCATGCAGAGCCTTGATTACACTGTCAGTAATGATGGCATTTTACGAGCGCCCTTTCATAAATGAAGGACACATATTCTACTGCAGCGCAGAAAAAAAAAAGAAAAACGATCACCCGCAGTAGTGCGAGCTTTCTTCATGTTCTTTTTTTTTGTGCTGTAGATCAATCAGATCATACATGATATGACGAAGTGGAGGTAATCACAGGTTAATTCTAGAAGAGATAAAATTGTCTGTCAGACTCCGCTCCGCCGTGCTGAGCCAAATCAGAGTCTAACACAGGCAGTTTGTGGTGAGGCACACGTAAAAATAAGAGCTTAAACGAAAAAGTGTGCGCAATCTTTTTCAGTTGCTTGATGTATAAAAGTTATTGAGATTTCGCAATAAAGCAAGAGCGATGTTGAAAAAGAACTGAAACCTGGGCCTCGCTTAGGAAATGCTTTTGCTGGCATTAAAGCGCGTCTTTGGCATCTCGGAAACGTACGATGAATGATATAAAAACTATCACTAATAGACTATAGCGATGAAGTTGTCTGCAGTTGCAGAACTGGGTAACTGCATTTACGAGGTAAACTTCTCATAAGTAATTCGCGGATATCCGGGATCCTTCAATCATTTCATAGCACGTCGGCACACCCTAAAACTTTTTTGAACACGCCCAAGGTTCAACCAAGCCCACGGAATGCAAATTACAAAATGTGCGCCTACCGGATGGAGAAAGTGCGAAAATAGATTGGCTTTCCGGTGCAACCGATCAGAGAGCCACAGGCAGAGGCACTGCCCGATAGCGCCAACGTCTCCGGTCGTGGGAAGCAAAGAGGCAAGCGCGAACACTCTGCCCGTTCCCATGAAGCCGGAGATCTGATAAGCCAGAATCTTCGCTCCTTCTCCTGCTACGGGGAACCCTTTCTCCAGAGGACACGAAATTGCACCCGTCCAATCACCGCTCCCATATAGCCGCTCCCATAGGTAGGGCAGTACGGCCTATGCCTATTAGTCCAGTTTATAGGGCCGCACGTGCTCTAAAACTATTTATACGATCTAACTTCACAGTAAAAATGCATTTCGCACTAGCAGCGTATTCTTGGCTTAATCTATACGGTATTTTTACCCTGCCATTTATTTCACGGGTTATTCCCCGAATAATGGTATAGCAAGTCTGCTGTCGTTGCCACTGATAATATTAGAAATGCAAAGGTATGCGTCCCAACACGAAGCATTCTTCTAGATCTACCGTCCTACTCCTTGTTACAGGCTGGCCTAGGTGGCCCTCGTCAATATAGTGCTCTCGGCAGACTTTATGATCGTTATACCACATACTGGGGGCAACAATGTACCGTTACGTTACGCTCGCACACGTGGCACCTATCTCTGCATGCTTTGTGGTTTTCATGTGCAAAGTACGCTTTTGTTCCTGAAGACAGTGCATAGAGTCCGTTGGAAGTTCGTTTGGGCACGCTCGGTAACTACGGCACAGCCACATAATCTGTGCGAGGCGCCCGCGAAGCTACAGGGTTTTATATAGTAGCCAAGCTCTCTCTTCCTTTTCACGTTTACATAAGCCATTGCAAAATTGTCGAACGATTTGGCAAGAAAATTGAGATACCGTGCAATCAGTGATGCATTTCTTCTTCTAGCGAAAGTAATTGCAGGTCCTTCATTTTCTTCTTACACTATATACTTTCGTATGCAGTGTTGACCTTGAGTCCTCAGGACTGCTCCTCGGAAAGGTACGTCGTCGTGTAATTGTGTAGTAGCTTCGCTTGTTAATCTTTATTCGGCACTTAAAAAATTGCAATGGGGCTATCAAAGATTTCCTAATATATAATGACGAAATGCGCTCTTGTTAGTCAGCTGTGAATGGTTTCACGAAGCGTAGTCGGCACTGAGTTAAGAGTTTCTAAATCAGTTTTAACAAACAAAAAATCCAGCCGAGAGTGTCCATATAATTGCTATAATAATAAAACCTAAGCCCGACAGATGGAGGATTTATATGTGGGGTTTAACGTTCCAAAACCACCATATGATTATGAGAGATGCCATAGTGGAGGGCTCACTAAATTGCGACCACGTGGATTTTTTCGACGTGCAGCCAAATATGAGCACATGGGCCTGCAGCATTTTCGCCTCCATCGAAAATGCAGCCACCGCAGTCGGTATTCAATTCCACGACCTGCGGGTCAGCAGCGGAGTACCTTCGCCACCAGACCACCGCGGCGAGGCCGAGAGATGGAGGAAATAAACTAAGAAAGAAAGCAGCTCAGGAGCTAGATAAGGAATGAGGCAGGCATTTGACTTATCTTAGAAGGAAACACATAGCGGCACTTCCAGCGTACGCTCGCAAGGTGCGTTGTCGGAGGGGCCTGGGAAAACTAAAACTAAGTGCGTGGGGTACTTAGAGGGAAAAAAAATGTATAAAGAAAGGCACTGCGTTATTGCGCAGTGGTAAATTGCAAACTGTTTACATCACGTGCATAATAATGAATAAGCACAGAAGGAGGAAAAAAAGACGTGAAGGGCTGCATACGTGACACGAGGGCACCAAGCAGCCAGGAGGGGGGGGGGAGGTGAACGACAACTTTCACGTCTTGGCTCTCGCGCAAAAATGCGTGCATGCGTTCGTAGACGATTGGAGGGCGGAGTAAACAGTGGCGAGTGCCCAAGACCTTGAAGACTATCGAGTACAGCCGGTTAAACTTTCGCGCTAGTATATAAGCCATCCGTGGAGAGTGTCAGGCACAACAGCCACATCAGGTGGACGAGACGAGCAGTATCATGGCTTTCAACAAAATGGTGAGTCGCGGAACCCACTCAGTTATTAGTTGAAGCGGCAGCAGAAGCTTTGTTGGCGAGTCAGCTTCAATGGAGCGCATAACGAAAGCTGATCAGCGGTCGCTTCATGTTTTGGTCGATAAATTGAGCTAACTCTGGTGGACTCATTGGCGGGAACGGAACTCTGAAACGGATCGTCCTCTTTATAGGTGACCTAAGAATCTGCAATTAATAGGTGCGAGTGACGACGAGCCCTAATTCGGCTTAGACTGGTGAATGGTATTGATGTTATCCAAGTTGCCTCTCTATGTATTGCTCGCATTGGAGTGAAATGTGTGGACGCGTGAATTAAATTGTTTGTAAGTGGAGTGTGTTTTTTAATATTAATGTGCATAAACAGATACAAAAAATAGGGTTGATTAACGCGAAAGTAAAAACATAAAGGTGAATTATAATAGAGCAAAGTCTTGATCATGTCCTGTTTCAAAAATTGGTCCGACAAAGAAAACGCAGTGCATAATCAAAACTTTGACATGAACCAAATATCCCTAATCACTGCCTTACTAAAACAAAACAACCACCAATAAAACGGGCTTGTTCATCCCATCCTAGTGGAGTGCTTCTGCCGTAAATCTCGACCATGATTCACAAGAAATATCTTATGGTAGAATTGTCTGTCCGACTTCTAAAAAAGGTGGCAGTCCTTCCGCAAGAAAAGCTTCTGCAAAAGGCTCTATGATTTTGCCCCAGTGCGCAAATTCAGATATTTTTTTTTTACTCTTAATACTCCCTGCCATTGGCTAACCAGCTCTTCTGTTAGTATCACGAACATCATGATAGAGAAAATTCAGCCTAAGTTCATTTTGTAGACATATGTAGTTCAGCATTTGCCGGGTGGTTTGGGGACGTTAAACCCCACATATCAATCAATCAGCATTTGCCGGGCAACGCTGTTTTTCAAACACGGCTGCGCATCCTCATGCTGATAATGCGATAGTCAAACATCGTAAACCACCCGTTGCATGTCGGCTGACCCGCAGGTCGCGGGTTCAAATCCCGGCTGCGGTGGCTGCATTTCCGATGGAGGCGGAAATGTTGTAGGCCCGTGTGCTCAGATTTGGGTGCACGTTAAAGAACCCCGGGTGGTCAAAATTTCCGGAGCCCTCCACTACGGCGTCTCTCATAATCATATGGTGGTTTTGGGACGTTAAACACCACAAATCAATCAATCAATCAATCAATCACCCGTTGCATGTAGTGCTACAGAAGTTATCAAGAGATACAATTGTTTTCTTTTTGTGACATTTTACACTTGTACTCACTGCTTCATTTTATCACGCGAGTCCCACAAATGTCAGCATAACTGAGTTCATTGTCAATTTCGCGGCCTTTGCCCTTTAGAGTTGAATACTCGTTCGTACCAACTAACGGAGAGGAGAAATCTCGAAGAAAAAAAAAAACCTGAAAGAGAAAATCAGCGCTGACTGAATAAAGGTGACACAAGTCACATTGTATACGTCATATGGAAGCAAAATGGTAAGAGGCCCGCGGGCTGTGCCTTGTCAGAGCGCGGTAAAGAACATCAGATGGTCAAAATTCCGGAGCCCTCCACTTCGGCATCTGTCCTGATTATATAGTGGTGTACGCACAGATACCATTGTTACTACTTTATAACTCATGAAGGCTACGCCTGAACATGAGCACCCGTGTTAGTCACTTCTCGTAAAAGCTTTTTGACGCTATGGAAATTTCTCGAATCGCCGATATACTATAGAGAAGAAAAAAATAACAATGTACAGGCATCATCAAATGACTTGCGATCACGTTGGCTCGAAGACTTCATCTGCCCTAATATGTCTAGCTGCTCATCTCTTAGAATCGGATCATTAGTCTCTTAAAATGGCACGCCGCTCAAAGCAAAGCCGCAAGATGGGCTTCCAAAAGGCCTACAATCATTATTTGGAGCGTGTATATGGGAGAAACTAAGAAAGCGCAGAAGAGTTCCTTACCACATTGTTTGCTGTGTTACTTGTGTGAAATATAGATTAAGGTATAAGCTGTAGGGTATACTATGCTAAGCGGCTACTCTAAGTACGCGCTAAATCTTTTGTTTCCATCATCATAACCCTTATTCCCACTTTCCTTCCCCTTTCCCGTATTTCCTGTGTAGAGTAGCAGGCTAGAGCACAGTAGTTCAGGCCGATCTCTCTGCTTTCTAATAAATTCTCACATCATCTTTTCATTTTTACAGAAGTATTTGTATTTGTTTCACGATTGATCATAAACGTTTCATCTTTCATTATCATTCTGATGCTTACATAAATTAATGTGTAAAGAGAGCTGTGCAATATTCATTCGGGTTACCCCCTATATTTTCTGTGCTTCCTTTTTTTCTTATTTTTTTCGATGGAGGTGAACATGCTGTAGGTCTATGTGCTCAGATATCGGTGCACGTTAAAGAACCCCAGGTGGTCAAAATTTCTGGTGTCCTCCACTACAGAGTCTCTTGTGAGCATATGGTAATTTCGGGATGTTAAACCCCACATAATAATTAAATCAATCATGTTATCTAAGACACACAGTACAAAAAAGCTAGCGAGTGCACCAGACCATTTTTTAAAATCAGAATAACATTAGTACTAGTAAAACCAGCGTATGCGCTGTACCACTATGGTAATTTTAATGGCGACTACACTGTAATAACATAAATCTTGTAAATTGGTTGTTTAGGCCCAATAGTGTCGTTCTCGCTTTACTACGTTTGAGTAGTAGCACAAAAGTGGATCACAGCTTATTAGCGGCGGGTTACTGGGCCTCTGAAAGCGTAAAGAGAATAGACGAAGGTCATTTTTTTTCATCACTGTTCCTCAGGATATTATTAAAAATCTGTCTGTCTGTCTGTCTGTCTGTCTGTCTGTCTGTCTGTCTGTCTGTCTGTCTGTCTGTCTGTAATGGCTGCGGCAGCATCCTGCCAATCATAGGCACAAACTTTTAGACTACATTGAATACGTTTCAATTTTGCTGGCATCTATTCCCAGTAACCATCACTTATTATCCAACAAAAAAAACTTGCTAGTTTAGCAAATGTATTGGGGGTTATCAGAAGAAACAAATATTGGTGTGAGATTAGAATTTAGTAGTTCACATGAAACGATGTGCCTTTTGATAACCAATTTGAAATGTATTAATATTACCACGTTCTTTTTTATTCACGCTGTACAGGTGATCGTCTTGGCCGCTTTCCTGGCCACCTTAATCTGCGTGAGCTATGCGCTCGAAGGCGTCGAAGAGCGTCAGGGTGGTGGACTAGGAGGGCGTGGTAGCTACGGCGGCGGAAGCAACTATGGCAGCGGTGGCAGCGGTCGTCACAGTGGCAGCGGCTTTGGCGGCGGTAGTAACCACGGAGGGAGCCTGGGTGGCCATGGAGGAGGTCTCGGCGGAAGCCACCACGGAGGAAGCCATGGAGGCAGCCACGGCGGCCTGGGTGGTAGTAGCCATGGCAGCTTTGCTGGACGCGATGGTTACGGTAGTGGTAGTAGCCTTGGCGGCAGTGGCAGCCGTGGTGGCCTCGGCAACCTTGGCGGAGGTAGCCGAGGTGGCCTCGGTGGCTCTGGCGGAGGTAGCCGAGGTGGTAGTCGGGGCGGACGCTACTGAGCAGGACGACGACTCGTTCACGCGGGCCCTGGGCACCTGTAAGACGGCACCGTTCCTGGCGAAAGTCAGCGGATGGTGTTTCATTCCATGACCGGGCCCTGCTGATTTGATGCGCCAGTCTGCTGTCCCAAAGACTGAGACACACTTCCTTTGGGCATTAATGCTGTGATCACCTTTTTTTCTTTTGTTTTATTTTTGTTCTTTCTGTGTTGTTCGTTTCCTGGCAATAAAAACTTGTCGACATCATTGCTTTGGAATTGGACTTAGTTTCATAAATAATTTTCTATCCTGACGCATTGAGACGATGTGCTTGGCGGAAAAATGTAAGACAGGGTGCCAACACCAGTTTTAGTGTGCAATCTTAAATGCGAAACTTTTAAATGTTATACCTTTAATCACGGAAACACTTTGAACGGGACAAGATCTATTACATTTTCCTCGATTTCCTTGTGGCTTTCAGCTTGAAACGGGTGTTGTAAATTTTCCTTTTTTTTAAACCGTGCACCCTCATACCCCGATTAAGGCACTGTCCAATCTAACTCCGCCTTGCGCACAGGAAATGCAACCACTGTCTCACATCAGAGTGGGCCTTCGCTTGACAAACATTGAAAAACACGCTTCGCAGAACAATTTTGTCAGGTAAATGATAAATTGTATGAAATACACGACTGGATCACTTGTGAATTGCGTGTATTGCTTCCGCTTCATTTTATTCTCTCCGTGCTGCAACCAGGAAAACTGAATTTTTACTCTTTTTCACTGTAAAGCATAGACTTTGAGGGCAGCTATATTGGTGATTCTCCTCGCAAATAAGCTAGATAGTTCTTTACCCCTATTTAAAGTTTCGAAAAAATAGGCAAGCACTTTCCACCAAATGCAAGAAAAATATAAGCTTCTACTTCTGCATTTGAGATGACTTGCCGAACTTACTGACCAGTTTCTGTTTTTTTAAATGTTTCCTATAGGAAGTTCCCATGTACTTCAACAAAGACACGGCTTTTGCTTCTCGCCTGTCGCGCTGAGTTTGTGATCACTCTAATAGGGGACTTAAACTTCAATGAATATTATGCCGAATTACGAGTGTTGTAGCATTTACAAAAAGTGTGCGCGTCAGAGATTCTCATGCTTTACAACTTTTCTATACAAACACCTGATCTCGAGTGAATAATGATGAAATTTACTAATGAGTCCTTGTTAATTGCTCTTGTCGATGTGACTTTAGGTGGAATTATTTCTGCCTCAATGTAGAGTACGTGTATGATGACGAGAGTGGCTGGACTATAATTGCATTATCGTAGAAAATCTGTAGAGACCTCAAGAAAAAAAAAACACCGCTTGTTAGTTTTTTTAGCATTCACCCACTGTACGAGTGAAGGCACCTCAGAATTAGTCTGAATGACCGTTTAGGCACATATCGTGAAAACATGAGCAAGCTATAAATGCAGGAAGCGCCTTACGCACAAGTTCCATTGGCAATATGATATATGTAAATAAAAGTGAGAAATAATTAAAATAGTTCCGGTATGAAAGGCTGTCGAAAAAAGAAGAGGACAAGGGTACGAAACGAAACATTTACGAAGATTTTGGCAAAAGAGCCTGCCTTCGTTAGAGAGTAAAACACACACACACACACACACACACACACACACACACACACACACACACACACACACACACACACACACACACACACACACACACACATATATATATATATATATATATATATATATATATATATATATATATATATATATATATATATATATATATATATATATTCTACTCTGAACAGGTTTTACTCGTAACTGGCGCACCAAAAGCGCATGTGCAATTCGCCCATCTACTTCGAAAACGCCCTCAATAACGACAGTGTTTCCCACGCTCTTGTCAACCATCAATCAAAATACTTATTTTCCTGACACCGCTTTCCAGCCACATGGTCACTTATCAACGCACACTTGTCCTCCTCCCCCAGTGTGAGAGAACAGCGTCGTCTTAGAGGATGTTTTCAATTGATTGATTGATATGTGGGGTTCAAAGGTTCACAACCACAATATGATTATGAGAGACGCCGCAGTGGAAGGCCCCTGAAGTTTATACTACCTGGGGTTTTTAACGTGCACGCAAACCTGAGCACATGGATGTACGGCATTTTCGCCTCCATCGAAAAAGTAGCCGCTGCAGCCGGGATTCGATCCCGCAATCTGTTGGTTAGCAGCAGAGTACTTTAGCCCCTAAACCATTGTGGCGGGGCGAGGACGTTTTTAAAGATAATGGCAGATACGCTCTCTGATGGGTCGGTTTCAATCTCGCCAGCTAAATTGGCCGCATTTCACCACTTCGTAGTGATTAACACGGGCCGCTTTTCATAAATTTCAATGGGACTGTGTACTAATGGTAGTAAAAACTTGAATTACCCCTTTGACTTCACCGCTTATGTGTACTGGTTCAAAAGTTCATTGTGTTCTTTTTTTTATAATTACTGCTGTATTCAACATGTGCGTGCATCTGACGATGCCTTCTGCCACAGTAAAGGGACGCCACACGTAGTACACAGATGCCCCTTTCCTGTAATTCTTCAATAATAGCGCACACATTTCTTAAAACACCATGTATATGGTATTAGTATGAAAAGTTGGGCGAGTTGGTTTGATGAAATTCTCGTAAATGTTTCGGCGAGCACACAGTGGGCGGGAAATTCGAACCCAAGAGGCAAACAGGCGCCTGTTTGTCTTCTTGCCTTCCGTTTCCGGTCCACTTTGTGCGCGCCGAAATGTTTCCAAGAATACCCTGTATATCATATACTCGTTGCGAATTGCAGTTTTTGTAGCAAACAGAAACAGATTCACGTTACGAACGTGACAATTATGTAATGGTATTCCATGCTTGTTTGTTACAGCATTGGTATTTCTGCAATAAGAATAAAAGACTGGATTCCAAGAGAAGACAAGCGGGTGAATGGGAGACAGAGAGTTAAGTGGGCTGATGAGATTCGAAAGTATGAGGGTGTAAAGTGGCAGCAGAAAGCACAGGGCTGAGTTGACGGTGGAGCATGGCAGAGGCCATTGTCCTGCAGTAGGCGTAATCAGACATATGATGATGATTTCTGTATTTAAAATGTTGTACTAGTGTTTCACGTTGGACCACACAATTTAGTATTGCTTGACAAAATCATTAGTCACGTTTTTAGTGGAGACAAAGTGACAACCAAAAATGAGGATTGTTTTCTTTCTCAAATTAACAGTCTTAAATGTGGCTTCTTCGGAAATTTCATCATCCAGCTTTCCCAGCAGGCACATGTATAGGTACACATGTGCAAGTAATATGTATCGGCCAGTATTGTTGACGTGATAACACACCCTTCATCATAAGATATACACAAAATCAAGACTGTTTTCTGGAGTTTCCACCAATTCTACAGGCAGCAGTTTGAAAAAGACATGGAAGCAAAGTTAAGTACACTTCGCCTACCGCTTGGTGATCATGTAGTGTTTGATCCCCTCCCCACCGCCCACCCAAAAGCAAGTGGTAGAGATGAAACATATCCCCCTCTATATCCCCGAACGTTTTATTTGCCACACGAATAAACAAAGTGACCAACATTTTCAATCCTTTATTGTTTAGTAGCCAATTGAGCCACTGACCGCTTGTCCTCCTCTCGTGTCTTTTTCGCACCATAAGCTACGTTCACACTGACGCAATGATGAGAAAAAAACTTGAAAAACAAGGTATCAAAAACAAACACCACAATAGGCTGGTTAGAACATAAAACAGGTGCCACAAGGCAATATTTGATTCTGGAAGCATTAGGTAATAAAAATCTGGGTTGTATACAACTAGGTTGTATACAGCCATGCAGAATGCATGGACACCGGGCTAGCTCAGAGCCCTTAAAATATCAAAACAAAACCAAGAGAAATATATTTATATTGTAAAATAATGGCACACTACTTGCAGCGTGAAGTATAGGTGGATGAATGCATGTGACCAGTGCGTGGCGCCTGGTTATATACACACGTGTGTAATTTCTCCTGAAAAGTGTTCGAGGACATTAGAGAACCTACCTACTCGAGGACATTAAAGAGCGCGTGAACACACACGCACACACTGACACATGTACAAATGAATGAAATCTAAGTAGAATATGAAATCATTTCTATTACGAAAATCATAACTAACCTTCCGCAGAACCTCTGACGAGAATATTTCACCACCATGATTCAACATTAGGACCCGGATGGGAAACCTCAGCTCAAAGAGGACACGGGAAATATTTTGTTGGCTGTACTGGTGAGAAACTTCAAGAGGAAGTAGTGCGAAGGCTGCAGGAAATGCGAATACCGGAAGCTACTTGCGTATTAGGTGATTCTAAGAATTTTTGGGACGTAGGAGAAGAGTCAGATCTTCCCCCGCTTGCTTTGTGGTGTTTACGATGTGGGTATATAAAAACGCGTTGGGGATGTCACTTTCACAACAGTATTTGGCTTAAAGAAGCTGTGCTTTTCATCGAAATATTTATATACCTATTATTGTCTACCGAGCGTAGAGCATTGAAGCAGCGTCAATGAAGGTATGTGTACTTGTCCGATGGCTTTAAAAAGTTTAATTTTATTGTTTTAATTGTCATTGATGAAGTGTACATAAAAAATATTTTCTAAAAATACTGACATTTTGGGCAGCTTTTCTCGCCACAAAAGTTATCTTTAGCAATGCGTTTTTTTTCTTTTGGAGTTTTCTGTGATCGAACAGCTTCATTTTTGCTTTATTTTTACAAAAACGTTGTACATGGCCACAAACAATTGTCATTTTCGCGTTACAGAAAAATTATCCTGCTTTCTGTTTGTCATCTTTCTGTTATTTCATACTTATTTCTGGTTTTGCTGTACAGATATTTTATGCTTAAAAGCACGTTTCAGTTTCCGAAGGTACAAAGTTGCTCTATAGAGCGCCTTTATACCAAGTGACATCCACCATTCACTATGCCTCGTGACTTTTTCTGCAACTTTTTTGTGATATGCCAGTGGACAACTCTTTCTTTTTGCTCTTCGGTCTAGTTATCTTGCAGAAAAAGTCCAGAGATGGCACTTCCCGTGACTGCTAAAACGCATTATGGTGCTTGGCGATATCGGCATGTTTGTTTTACAAAGTCTGTGAATTCTCCTATTTTGCTAGATGTTCAATGTCAGCCGCACGTTTTGTTCAGGAGGGCGCTTCTAATCTGCCGAGTGGCACACTTTTCCAGCGGATGATGCATGCTAACGCTAATTCACTTGACACACATTGTCTTGACGCCTCATAATAAATTTTCAGGTAAAGAGCAGATGAAATCTAACAATCTGTTGCAGCAGACGGTGCATGTCAACAATCTTTTACGCTAATTGATTTCAAACACAATGTCTTCACGCCCTAAAGGAAATTTTCAGTTGAAGAGCGGATGAAATCCAACAATAATAAGGAAATATTACGATATAGCTGTGATATATCAGTAACCGTTTTTGTTTATTATGTAGCACTGATAAATTACATAATTTGAAAAACAAAGCATCCAAATTTTTTATTACTATCATTTTCACGTATTCAACAGAGAATACCAGAGATTACCAGTATATGAGTGCAAAAATAAGGAACGCCCTTCTCATAGCATGGAACGACTAGAGGAGGATTCCCGGACACTATACACACTGCCTCTGCATCCACAGAAGCTACATTCGCAATATTGCTATATTACCTAATGACTGATGATGCATACGCTGCCTTACCTAGTCACGTTTTGTACACATGATCTCCAATAGGCTACATTGATGTACCTCTTCTATGCATCATAATATATAATTTGATATAATTAAGTTTTTATAGCGTATTTTACTTATTTAACCTATTTATAATAATTCAAACAACTATAATACTACATATTTACCGAAAAGTGTTTGGAATTATGCATAAGAATATGCCACTTGCCCTAAACGCTGTTCATGACCGCAGGCAGGCAGTTGAATCAGCACACACACACAAAAAAAAAACATTCACTTCTAAATGATCTCGTACATGATAGCTATGGACCCTTATTTAGCTGCACGCTAACACCTTCTCGGCAATGCATCACAAGCACCTGATCTCAGCAGGCAGCAAAAAAGAGCTCCACACTCGCCGCCATGCCTGCAAATGCGGTAACACTTCCAGGTTTAGGTGCACCGATATATCCGACAAAGTGAACTTCAGGACGCTCACCACCGTAGTTAAATTGGTAGAGCATCGGACGTGTTATTCGAAGATATCAAGTACGGATCTTGCCGGTGGCAAGCTGTCTTTTTGTACACTTTACTTTCTTCACGTTTACTTTGTAAAAACAGCAATAAATTTAAAATAGCACGACTTTTGCGCCTGGGCCATCCTTGGCTTCATGATATGTTGCTTTTCATTTGTATAATTTATATTTTACTCTGAGATATCTTCGTCCTCGTATTTTATGAACTGATGAACTGGCTTTAAATAGTTGAAAGAAATAATTTTTGCTTTGGTACCATAAGCCCGTATTACTATGATCATATCCTCATATGCGCTATGTGTCAGCGTTCCTTCAGAGAACGATGTGCACTTCACCACTTCCTGACCTCTGTGATTTTATGCGGTATCTATGAAAGAGATTCTGCCTTAAATGTGCACGATTTTCTCGATCAACACAGGCATCAGTATTTTATGCTTGGGTGTCGCCGAGCGAACATGCACCCGTCAGGCTCTAGTGAAATGACCAATGAGGACAAAACACAAGCAGGATAGAACTATTTTAATTACTAAATAAAGGTTCTGTGAGAACCTCTGTAATTCTTTATTTTTACAGTTATCAATTCTGAATTTTTATGTGCTTATAAACGTCTGACCTCTTCGCAGGTGGCTCTATTCACCCTAAGTGCCATTGCCGCCATGGCAGTGGCCACAGCTTCAAGCATTGGAACTGTCCAAAGCCAGCCTCCGATTCTAGAGGCTGGTTCCGAAATTACGTCCGCGACCCCTGACTCTGGCTTTGTGCCCGGAATCGAAGCTGAAAGTGGCTCCGGAACCACCAGCACCGAAAGGCCAAGTGGCACCGATAGCGGCTTTGATTTTGTTGCGGATATCGCCAAAGGCTTCGGATTGAGCCAGTTCAACGGCTTCGACACCAATCCTGGCGGCCTCGCACAAGGAGGAGCACTTGGTCTCAATCACGCACTCGGAGGAGGTGGCTTGGGAGGGCTCGGTCACGGCGCTGGTCTTGAAAACTTCTACGGGTCTCTCCTGGGATCTGGAAACCCTGCATTTGCGCAAGCAGCCCCATTTCTAGGCTTGGGAGGAGGAGGAAAAGGAAGCCGTGGTTACAGCAGCGTTAAGACATACAACTACAAATTTGATTCCAATGACCCCTCCAACGGAGCTAAACAAGCCTAACAAATTTCGTAAGCGGACTTGGTCTGGACTGGTACGGGTCAGTTCTCGTTATGCCCCTAGTTCATATGAAAATGGTGGCAGTGAATTCATTGCTGAGCGCTGATTTCGCGAAGCCGAATAAACAAAAACACCGTTCCCACATTAAACGCTTCAATGCACCTACTTACCTGCTTTAGCAGCTGAAATGATTGTAAGGGCAATAAAAATGAATAGTCGACATTCACTCTTATTGAGCTTATCTTAAAAGGAACAGGTGCGTTTTCCGCTCTCGACGCTGCAGGTTCCTGCATGTGCTCAGTCAATGTCTCGAACTTATCTTTCCATCTCTTCCCCACACCGCTGAGCAATGCTGGACGAACTATTCCGAAACAAAACGAGTCATGAGGTGACATGAGTGGCACTTTAAACATGACTTTATAGAGGCCTTATGACAAAAACTGGGATAGCCCGAGCTTCTGAGAGCACATGAAATTTTTCCGATCAATATTATCATGTGGGGTTTAACGTCCCAAAACTACAATATGATTATGGGAGACGCCGTAATGGAGGAGGGCCCCGCAAATTTAGACCACCTGGGATTTTTGAACGTGCACCTAAATCTGAGAACACGGGACTCAAACATTTTCGCCACTTACATCGAAAATGCAGTTGCCGTAGCTGGGATTCGATCCCGCAATCTTCGAATTAACAGACATTTGTTTTTTTTTTCAAGGTTCTGTCGTGAGTCATGACATAGCATACAAAGGCGACGTGCGTGCGCGTCACAATATACAGTCGACGAGCGGCGCTCTAGGTGACGAAAAGAAAAAAAAGACCACACCCCTCTATTGTGCCGGTCAATAATATTATAGAGTTTCTCCAAAATAAGTAGAGGGCACCCTGGCGCTGCGATCGTTCAGCGACGATAGGAATGATGGGTATAGTACACACATTTGCCTAGTCTTCGTCCTTGCGGGCGGCGAATCGTACTTGCGGCTTCGTTTATTGCTGTGTTTCGATTTTGTTTTGAAAGAAAGATTCAACCCTCTGAAACTTCGTTACCTAATTTGGAAAGATAATTCGAAAAAATAGGGTGGTGAAGCGCAACCGCTGAAATTTGCCCATTTTTGTTTCTTGAGAAAACAGCTTCAAGCCACAGGAACACACACGGAGCCAAAAGCAGGCCAGAAGTACGAAGTTTAGACAAATGTGTGTACTTCCCATCATTCCCATGCTCGCTGAAGCGCAGTGCATTGCAGCTCCCATAGACACTAGCGCCAGAGTTCCCTCTAGTGTATATTGGGAAACTCTATGAATAATATACACTCTGGGGGAGATCACGTGGTCAAGCCAACTCGGTGCATGAACTTGTCGCCCAACAATCTGTTATGACGTCACACACTAAACATGGGCAAGCGGTAAAAGCACATCCAACCTCCACCCACTCCTTTTTTCTTGTTTCAAGCACAGAAACGTCTGCACGTAGTACGTGGTAGAAAATATAGCGTATAAAAACAAAACAGAACACCAAACCACTATTCATGAATGCCCAGTTATACGGGCTTCTTGACCACCCTACCATGCCGCGTTACAATGGGAGTGGGTTCACTGTTGGCCAAAGCACGAGTGAAAGGCACCACTGAATCGGCTGCTGTGAAGCTATCTCAGCTATAGACCACTTGTGCAGCGCTCGGCTGCCGTGAGTTTTTTGGAGATTCGTAAGTTTTTATGTGCGTCCTTTCTTTTAGGAGACGGTTAAGCATTCTCATGTTTCGGATCAGGACCACACCATCGTCGGTTCGCAGTAGATATACTACTACTAATAATAATATTATACTAACACTACTACTAATATCATTATTATTAATAATAGTAACAATATTATAGTAATATTATTATTAAAAATTTATTTGTATTTTGAAAGAGCAGCATATAGTGATACAAAATTGTGCTGCAGAAGCCTCATTGGGCTTGATATGACCGCAGTTTTGGTACTGGTGCGAGGACTGTGGTCTTACTTTGCTTATCCATCACCTAGAAAAGGTCTTCTGCCTCTAGCTTGAACAGCCATCTGCCAAGAAGGCGTTAATCGTAGTCGCGGCACTGCCATCGCCTGACCCCTTTCGGGCTGCTTCTTTCGGGCTGCTGTTTCCTGGATTTCATCGACGCAGTAGCAATGGGACTCCTGTGCTCAGTGACCTACTCGTAGTCATAAGTGCTTCCACAGGACTGACTTCATGAATGCTGGGTGTCGCCTTGTAATCCAACAATGCCAGGTTGGCTTCAGACTTTAAAGACTTTAAAAGGAGGTGGTTAACCGTCTGAACCATTCGCTATACTTTCCCATTGGCCTGCGGCTGCCTCGAACTAACGGAGACATGGCAAAACCCTTATGACACAGCGAACTGTTTAAATTTGGTGGTCACGAACTAAGGACCATTGTCGGTCAACGCACACTCAAAGATTATATGCCTATAGTAATAAAAGAATTGGCAGATGCCAAGTACAGTGGGCATGAACCAAATGCGAAGCACAAGTGAGAAAGGTTGATATGTGAATTCAAAATGAGCACAACTTTACGAGGCGGACGCAAATTATGCCGTACACGCCTTCCATGTCATGATAATCTTGTTTGGACGTGTTATTTACCTTCGTCGTCTATTCACGTCACATCAAATAACAAATTTGGTATATGTGGAGCTACCGAAACTTTCGCGAGCATGCTATGAGCGTAGCATGTCGTCATGTACTTACAAGACAATCATGTCATGATTATCATGTTACGACTTGTCATCTACCTTCGTCGTCCATTCAAGTCACGTGATGCCAAATTTGGTAAGTGTGGAGCTAGTGAAACGGCTGCGAGCGCATCATGAGGGTGATATGTTGTCATGTTCTTATACGTCACGCATGTCATGGTTATTATGTTTGCATCAGTCATATACCTTCATCATTCATTGGCGTCATGTAACATCAAATTTGCTATGTGCGAAGCTACAGAAACGACCACGAATGCACTATGAGCACGGCATATATTCGTGTTTTACATGACACATTTGTCGTGATTATCATGTTTGGACGTGGCATTTACCTATCGCCCGTTTGCGTCACGTAACAGCAAATTTGGTATATGCGAATTTAGCGAAACGGTGGCGAGCCCATCATGAGCGTTGCATCCTCATGAGCGTGGCAGGAGCCTGACATCCTCACCGCCAGGCAGGCAGGCCATTTTCCGTTTACAGGTGTTAGACCCTAGGGGAGGCAGGGGGAGCTCTGGCACAACGCCATCTGGCCTAGTAAGGACACGAAGGGCTTGTGACCTGCCTCGAAGCTAACCTTTAGGCCACAGATGTTGTCATCAAATTTGTAAACTTCCTCCATCAGTGTTGGTGCTTCTTTTTCTATCTAGTAGTATCGCCGGTCTATGTTCGTGAGGGAGCAAGATGCGAAAGCTATTGGTCTCTATGGTGACCGTCTTTCTGTGGTTGCAAAAGGACAGCTGCCAGTGCAAAAGAGGATGTGTCCGCTCCAAGGACAGAAAGATGTGTTGCATCGGGCATGGACATACATTTCGTAGAACAACTTAGCCCTTACAGCTCGTTGAGCGCTTTTGCTTGGTCACACCCCAAGACCCATTCACTATCTTGGTGCAAAAGAGCACGCATCGCAGCAGTAGTATGCACCAGTTGGGGCAAACAGAGACATAGGTGATTGGCCATGCTGAGCAAACTTCTCAGTTGCGTGACATTTTTCGGGGCTTTTAGGCTCTTAATAGAGCCAACTTTCGCTCGAACAGGCTCAATTTTATTTTTATTCAAATTGTCCCAGCAATTTCACTTTATTAAAGCCAAGCTGGCACTTTTTTCTTGTTCAGAGTCACTTGTGCGCTAGCTAGGCGCTACATGGCACCTGATAAACGTTCGTGGGGCTGGCGTTACATATCTCCAAACACTAAAATGCTATCCATGGCATTGACAACACCAGGCAGACCACATATGATTTTGGATATCTTTTATTTAAATATTGCGGTGTGGACGTACTTCCAAACAGAAGTTTGGCAAAACAGTACTTCCCGAATGAAGTGAAGAGCGTAGGTTGTTCAGCACTGTTGCTACACAGTCGGACTTGATGTAATCCTGAGTAGGCGTCAAGCTTTAAACAGTACTTCGCACCAGCCAGAGAACCTAATGTTTGATGCAGAGTAGGTGCCGTAAAGCGCTCATGAACGAAGCGCCTATTTAACTTTGTGAGGTCGCCCCGCCGCGGTGGTCTAGTGGCTAAGGTACTTGGCAGCTGACCCGCAGGTCGCGGGATCAAATCCCGGCTGCGGCGGCTGCATTACCGGTAGAGACGGAAATGTTGTAGGCCCGTGTGCTCAGATTTGGGTGCACGTTAAAGAACTCCATGTGGTCAAAATTTCCGGAGCCCTCCACTACGGAGTCTCTCATGATCATGTGGTGGTATTGGGTCGTTAAACTTCACATATTAATCAGTCAATATTAATTAACTTTGTGAGGTCGACGCATATTATCAGTTCCCCCGACTGTTTTGTTACCAGGACTATTCCTTCGCACCACTTAGTAGGGCCATCTACTTTTTAATTATTTGCATGTGCACGAGTCTCTAGATTTCGCGCTTCAGATTTACCATGAGCGAAATTGGCCCTTGCCGTAGAATGGCTCTCGGTTGTAGCCTGATTGTATATTCATCTGCGATTGCGCCCTACGCTTCATGCGTGGAAAGAGGGCGTCATACCATTGTGTGTTTGCACTAAGCGCCTCGGCAAATCAAACATCACCTATAGCCTTCGTCGCGAAGAGGGCTAACGACATAGCTCGTTTGACGGACAGTCCTCCTTTTCAACGCAATCTCTATGACAAACTTACCTGGGACATTGAGCTTGTCGCTACCAACCACCTGTAGCACCTCGTCTGCTTTATTTAGGTGGTGAAAATTAATCCCGGCTGCTGCGGCTGCATTTCCGATGGAGGCGGAAATGTTGTAGGCCCATGTGCTCAGAT